TTGTGCTCTCAAGATTCCACTGCAGAACGGCATACAGCCCTGCCAGAAAAGGATGGCAGCCGGCGTTTGCAAGGTGCTTTTCAATAAACACGCCGACTCGCTCTACCATCGTGGTACGCTCTTTAGTCATGCGCATGTAATTATGTTGCACACGCACCGAGACCCGGTGTCGATTGTTCTTATCCGTCGTAAGCTCATAATTTGTCCCCTGACTTTTCTTGGCTTGAATCTCAAACTCAGCGTACTAAAGCAATATTTTATAAATTAAGAATTCCACAAGTATTAACAGACTCCCTCACTCTTGTCTTCGAAACATGTTCGTGGTATCCTGCTCGCACCTCCGTCTTCACTACCTCCAGCATTTCGATGCTAAAGGCACAAGCAGCTCTTTGTTAGGGTTTAAAATTCCCTTGACACCTATTGCATTTCGTACATCTTGGTAAAATTCTTTTCGTGGCCAGAAACCATACACTTGTGGAGTCCTAAAGTCTGCACCGCTTCATTAAATTGCTCATCGGCTCCTGTTTCTTCGACTGCCGATATACTGCACGAAAACATCAGAACTTATCCTTGCAAAGATTCTTCTCGATTTATTTGCACCTGATTTCGTCCACTTTGCTCGCCTCAAAGAAATCTAATACGCGTTTAGCAGTCTCATCCTTGTCATAATAAAATTTAGCGCAAAGTTCGCGCCAGCGCTGTTGACGCAATATGCGATTGTCTTCAAGTGCCGTACACTGACATCCTGTGGCACACATGTAAATTCAAAAGTGTTATGACTCGCTCTTACTAGGCGATGTCCTATACACTCTACCACGCACCATCTGCAGCCATGGCTCCACCGCTCAAAAAGCCTTAAGTAAGAAAAATATTATCTTACTATGTAAAGGCATTGAGAATAAAATAATTATTTTGTCCATGTAATGGTAAGAACTATGCTCGACAGCCTTAACGTGTACCGATCCTGTGGTGCAGTGGTATACTGTTCACTTCAGAACCGGGAGGTCCAGCGTTCAATCTCCGGGCCGGGTAGAGAGGGGTTAGAGTGTAATGAATAAAACCCTACAGCACGTGCTTGACATGCTTACACGAATCCTAAAAAGGGGTGTCGTTCCTAATCATATCTACAGCGTTAACGCACCGACCCGTAGCTTGAAGTGGGACCGGGAGGTACACCCATGGGATTCAAAACGGTGACAGGTCACTATAGTGGACGAGCAATCACACCGCTGTGGTATGACCGCCTTGCCAACCCGCACCCAAATGGGTGTGTGATAGAAGAACCGATTTGTAAGTAACCGTGTTTATATTGCGTTACCTTGCTATTCGCACTTATGTAAAGCTTTCGAACCAATTTTTTTAAACTGTCAACGCTGTTGAGATGAAAGCTCCCACGTCAACAAATGCACAAGGCACATAGGCTGTCCCTAGGACGCAAAACAAAGATATTCAGCATCAAATATTTGTTCTTATCAAAAATTTATGGGTACCAGACTATTCTTCAAACCGGAGTCTATATCCTTTTCTTGACCATTTTGTCATAAAATTGAGCTGGTAGACTCAATCCGAGTTGTGAGCCCTTAGTTTGGGCTTCGACCTACTTGTACGCAACAGCAGTGTCTACATCTATCACTGCAAGTAGCAATATTGCTGGATAAGTGGAATCATTGCCATTTTAAGTTGAGGAGAGCGAAAGGGCAGCCAAATAAGAGCTACACTGCAATAAGATTACTGAAAAAATTCAGTATACAGATTTGCATGTATAACACAAGAAAGATGGATTAATTCGCCCCATCTAAACGCAAACTTTATAGCATCTAAGGCAACTAAGCTATAGTGTCCTTTTGAATGCACGAGTGGCACCATTTTAGATGTTGAGTCAAGCTTAGATAATTCGAAATGTACTGAGCGATGTCCTGCATTTCACATGTCGAGTTCGAGTTGGCACTTCAAAATTCCAACAACCAGTATAAGTCATGATACTTCATGATGTTACCTTTGAGCTAAACTCTAATCTGATGGAGTAGTCAAATGTGTTCGCGCACTGTAATACGTGTAATCACGAAGATAGCCAACGAAGCACAGTATTTAGGTTTGATATCGATGCAGGTGTCTATAGATGACACGGTAAAAGCCGTCTGTTACCTCCTTGTACCAGGTTAATGCTCAGTACCCAGTCATGAAAATATTTTTTACTGAATAAGGCGGAGAATAGCTCTATAGTAATTGACTTTTTATTAGCTATCGTTTTGACGAAGCGTGGATCTAGTCTTTAAAGCGTAGACCACTTAGCACCTGGGTCTGCTGAGATGTTGCTTCGTCTCCAACAACCAATCTGGCGTCTGGGCTTCTCAGAAGACCTGATTAAGCTAAGCGCTGAGCATGAGTGAAATATCACAATATCGATTCGCCATAGGGTTGTAAGTTGCTGTGCATCTAGCACAGCAGAGAATTTGATTCGACGTGAATGTGTAAACAAAGCACAGAAGATTGTTTTGTAAGCTTCGTTTAGAGGCATTCTTGACATCCTCTCAAGTAGCTAATATTTAGTTGCTTCGTCTAATTCAAGAGTGACATGTATTTGAAGCTATGTGCTGAAAACAAATACTCGATGATTCCGTTTACTTTGTTCAACATTGCAGCGCATGAGCAGCTCATAAATCTTACAGAGTTTCACACAAAAGTGTAACGTGTACGTACAAAAAGACCCTCTCTCACTAAGATGTGGTCCTTATTTTAACGTTCTATGCCATCGCGCATAGTTAAATACTTTTTTATTAACCATCAGACCCCCCTAGTTCTTCTGAGATGAGGTTTCCATACATCTTGTAGAGGAAGACTTGAGCTAAGCTTCCGTGTTAGCAACGCATGGAGACAGGGCTTGTATGCTCCATTTAAGAGCAGAAGTCACGCCATTGTAATACGTTGGCCTCATTTGCGTTTTATATTCAAAAGAGAAACAAAAATTTGAAAGTAAGAATTTTTAGTCGTCATACTTTTCTTTGTTTAAGAGCTTTAGAAGGCGAAGCACCACCCGCTTCGCGGGCGGTAAGTGCATGGTTTATAACGACTTGTGTCAATTACTGGTCTAGCTTGCTCTACTACCAAGTGTGACTGGTGGTCTCTTTCATCATATAATGTTTCTGCAATAATTGAGATTTTAAACATGCTATGAATATTAGTGTGCTTCACCCCTCTTTCATCACCCTTTCCCTTTTCTACAGCTCACTATTTTGTTTGCTCCATTTGGCCAAGTTGCATTAGCCGTCGGCCCCACTGATTAGATATTAACTTGGACAGTGAACATACAATTTACTATGTGAAACTTGACCGATTCACAACGTGCGATATTTTACTGTAATAATAGATAGTAAACAAGTACTTTTAGCTTCGAGCGCGATATTTTTTAAGAGTGATATTGGCGAGTGCAAAGCTAAATAAAGCCAGATAAGGGCTCAACTAAGCGGGTAATGATGGCATAATGGAGCCACTTCTATACTCCTACCACATCTTTCACAATTAGTCGACAATTATGGGCAATTTAGTTTTTTTAATAAGCTTCTCAGTCTGATGCATTCTCTATCTTATAAAGTCTAGATTTCTCACATTTTTCAAAGTTGTCTCACATTGATTAACTTAAGCCATCGCGTGTTCAAACGAACAGGCCTTGAAAGAGACGCGAACCTATGTAAGATACGTGAGAAATGTGAGAAATAGGCACCATTAGTGTATTCATTGTGAGCTTAGATCATGTTCTAGCAGACTATGCTCTTCACTGCCGTAATCTTAAAAGATACACCAATTAGTAAAATGGGTTTATAGTATGTAACAAAAGCATCTTTGCCGTATCTGAAAATTAGCGTTTTAAATGAATAATTCCTCTTAAAAGCTGCAATTGCTGGGTGCAATTCGGCTCAAAATGTATATGTGGGGATTTGCAGCGAGACACAAGGCCTCATCTCACAGCCTCTTGATTGTTTGCCTAATCGCAATCACAAATCTGCTTAGTTTACAGAAGCTACGTTGTTTCATGCAGGATTCTACGAAGCGATAAGAACCATGCACGTCGTGATACGATGTCGAAGTCAATATAATAGTTTTCACAATACAGAATTGCAATAGCCGTCTTGGGATTGTGGCGCTGGCAACTAAATACTATAATCCATATAAAAATTATTCTGTCTTTGAATGATGGCTTACACTATTTACGAAATTTTACTACGCCATTTGCATTAGCTAACATAGTGTTGTAAACGCATCGATGTGAACCCAACTTGTGCTGGAATTCAGCACTTAAGTAAGTCGCAAAACAATTGGTACCACTTAAGGTTTGTATATCGCACTGACGGCGTACAAATTATCTTCCAATTTGGAGTCTGCCATTGCATTGTAAGCAGAATACATATGTTGTGTGTAGAGATAACCTCGCGTAAATCATTCTCAAATCGTGTGACTTACATCCCATGTGCAGCCGAGTCATCTCCCATGAAAATCATCTCTTAAAAAAATGACGAATTTCTCATTTCCCCAGGTGGATCAGCTCACCCGGTTTATCCTTTTTTGTGGTCAATTTATGACATTTCAAACCCATTGGTGCTAGCGTTAAACCTTGCTTTTTCATACATTCTTGATACATTCAGCTTACAATCGCAGCCAGTGTTGTCATCGCCAATGCGACTATGCTGAGCTCATCCTTGACCATAAGAGCTCTCGCATGCGCAGTTCTGTTTACGTGCGAATCCTTCTTTCTAATGAGCGTTCCACAAAATGGATGCATCGATTTTCCACAGATCAGGCAAACGTGGGCATTTCCGACCAATTCTGAGCACTGACCACAGGGGCTCAATTGCAGCGGGGCTGCTGTAGCTTTGGGCTTAAAGAAAGCGTAAGTTAGGTCGCCGACCTTTCGTTCTATACTCAGAACAAGTTCGAGTTTAGCGGATCGCAATCCGCTTACTCCAAGAGTAATTATAGCCTTAACCCAAGGCTAATTAATTCTTCGGTTTAAATCCAAAACTGACTTTATTTATTTTTATCTGCGGCAAAGCCGCCTAATTTTAATGCATAGATTCTCCTAAATATGTATAGTATAATTTAAATACATGTATCACTACTGGCTATCCACCCCGTACCGCATTCTTGTCTGGGTGTGATCACATCATGCCCATCTAATGTGACACACCCCTGTTACCAGGGTATGTGTAACCCCGTTACAGTTAGTCTGAAGGAATATCACGACGTTGTATTGAGAGGCCCAATACCCGATTTACACCCTTATAGGGGAGTGCGTCATGAAATTTGTAAAGGGTTTACACGTGCCCTTGTGAGAAAGGGTGGGTCGCACAAGATTGTGCGATTGTACATGGGTATGTATTACACAGTATGGGAAATAACACAGTGATGTGGCCACATCTTAACAAGAAGTCGCCATGTGGCGGGATTGCCAGTAGTAATGCATATTACGATATCAATTAGGTTTTGCTATATTAATGAGGTGTTACTATTTAGTTAGAAATCCTTATGTTTTTAGATATTGGCGGCTCTGCCGCAACTTTAACAATTAGTCACAGTTTCGTCTGTAAACAGAAGAGTTTGTTTGCCTTGGTAAGAAGTAGCAGATTGAGTACCGCTACACTTGTACTGTTTCTTTGAAAGAACCAAAGGTCGGTGACCTTAGCTTAGCTTCCTCTAAGCAAAGAGCTACGGCAGCCACGCTGCGCCTGTTTGCACTCGTAGTCAATCTACGCATGAGACGTTACGACTGATTCTATGTGAGGATGGAGGAATACTCTTATTTGCTCCAGGGCATTGCAGGATGGGCTCAACAAGCTGGTGTCCCTGCTGGGCCCTGAAGGCGTGGAGCACCTCGCTGCGCAAGGGCCTGAGGCCATAAGCGCGCGCCAAGAGGCCTATTCTAGTGATAAATAAATCTGTTAGAGCACTTACAGCAAATGCTGTCAGTGTTGACTGCGCTACGATGCCACAGTCGACGAGGGAGGATTCCTTCCGACCCAGGCCGCTCAAAGTGAGTGTTAAGGCCTTCAAGGGTAAGGATAGAGAGAATCTCCTTCTTTGGGTGAGGGAGGTCAAGATGGCCATCGA